GATTAGGAGACCTGTGTGAAGGCCCAGTGCTGCTGAATCCCAGGTCCCATGCCCTGCGTGTGGCTCCTTGAGGCAAAAGAAGGCCCTGGGACCACCCTTTTTCAAACACACACACATGACAGGCTTTGCAGTTTATTCAGACTTGAGGTCACAAGTGGAACCTGCAGCAACAGAAATGGAAACACTGACTGACTCCAGGGAGGGAGACTCCACAGGTATGGCCTCTGAGCTCCATCCCTAGGCTACACAAGTTCAATAGGGGCCCAACAGGGCTCTGAGGCCTCCCCTCATAAGCCTTTCCTAACAGTGGAGCCCAGCCTAAACCTGGGCGGTTCTGACACGTTCCTGGAGACCCGCCTCGGCCGGAGGGACATCCGGCCTTGCCCTTTGCTTTCACTGAGCAGCAGGGCGTGCGTGACCACGAAGGAGAGCCAGAAGCAATCCGTGGGGATCCTGGTGCCCAGCCCAAACCACTCCAGTGGGCTGAGGGAAAACCAGGCTTCTTTGGAGATCTGGTACAACAGGGCCACGAGGAGGCAGTTAGTCAGGTCGTAGAAGGTGATCCAGGCGACATAGGCGAACATCCCCATGCAGTGCCGCTTGTGGACTGAGTAGAGGAGCAGGATGCATACTGGGTAGGTCATGACGGCCAGCATGAAGGCCGTATAGTAGCAATACGGCAGCATCTTCCCCATGCTGGTCATGTTGTTGAAGGGCTTGATTTTCTCCATCTCCAACATTGCTCGCTGGAAATGGCCAACCTCAAAGATAAGGTACATGTTAGTCACTAGGATCATGTAGACAGCAGCTACGGTGGCCCCAGCCTTGGGGCTCATGCCACAGAACCCCCCTGGGCACAGGATGATCATGTTTTCTCCACAGGCAACTTGGCTGGCCAAGGAAATGGCAGGATGTGGCAGAGCAGAGAGGCGAGGCAGGAAGGATGCCGGTGAGGCTGGCGTCAGGGATGAGTCCAGTGAGCTCGAGCCTGGATTGGGAAAGAACAGGGTCAGGCTCAGACATTGTGTGAGGAGCCGTCATTGGCACCTACAGAGGAGAGCTGACCAGGGAACTGCGCCACCATATTTACAGCGGGCCACCTGCAAGAGTCCTTCAGCCCTATACGGAGAGTGGGACGGTGTGTCTGGGGCACACACTCGCTCACTGCAACCCCATCTCAGCGAGACTGCCGCTAAACCCACACTTGGCTATGTCCCCTGTGGTCCTATGTGCTCTTCACACATGCAGTCCGGGTGGGGCTCTGAACCAAGGGCAGGCGGTGGGCCTGCCGGCTCTGCAAGGCACCACTGCCAAGGGTGCAGGCGGCTGGTGGCTCCAGTTCCTGGGAACGGATTGCAGTGCTGGGGAGATTCACCTGGATTGTATTTGCGGACTGACTAATGACGTTGGGCGCCTAAGCCCTAGGGTCGGCCTCTGGATTATTTTCATCTCAATAATGCCGAGTCTATCCATCCCACAGCTGGTGGCACCCACTAAGGGGATCTGGGCTCTAGACCCACCTCTACCACTGGCCTGCTGGGCAATCTTGGACAAGTCATGGCCTGCTCAGGGCCTCAGTCTCCTGGAGTGTAAAATGGGAATAAGGATTCTGGGCCCTCCCTTCTCAAGCACTTTGAGAACTGCAGAGGGAAGGTGCTAAATCCGAGTGAGGAGTTCTCCTATAATCGGTTGGTTGCTGCAATGTGTCCACTCAGCTCTCGATTCCAGGCCTCCTGAGCCAGCTCTGCTGCCTCAGGGCAGTTGGAGAAGAGCTTTGCAGAGCAAAGCAAATGAAGAAACAAGGGGGAAAGCCAAGCCTGCAGGCTCTCTCCTGGGAGGGGTGAGCTCCTGGCCCTCCTGGAAATCCTCGGACTGCAGTTTCCGAAGACCCAGGGCCAGAGAAACAAGAGCCCGAGGCTTGCCATCTGGGGCAGGCTGCTCAGCACGCAGCAGCTCCCCATTTGCACTATGGCCAGCACCCAGCCTCCAGCAGTCTGGGACTTGGCCAAGCTAGCCCTGCCAGTAGGTGCCCTTCTGAGGCTTCTAGCTGCAGCTGACAGCCATTCACACGGAACTCAGAGGGGGAAGCCTGGAGCTGTAATCAAGCAACCTCCCATTAGCAGCAATGGAAATTCGCTTGACATCCAAGTAGCCCTTGAGATTTCGTCTCCATCTTCCATGCCTGCCTGGCCGGCCAGGGCTAACTCGCTCCCTTCCAGGGGTCTGACCTCAAGCCTCTTTCAAAGGAGAGTGTCTAGACTGCAATCCCTTCTTTCGAAAAAGTGAGCCGCTTTTTCGAAAGAGGGCACCAGGCAGTCTGGATGCTCTCTTTCAAAAAAGCCCTGTTTGCATTCAACACCTTTTTTTGAAAGAGCACTTTTGGAAGAAGGTGTTCTTCCTCGTGAAATGAGGCTTACCACGGTCGGAAAAACCGCTGCGTTTAATTTGAAAGAACACGGCGGCAGTCTACACGCAGGGGAAGTTTTTTCAAAAAAACCCTGTAGTCTAGACACACCCCAAGAGAGCAAAGGGAGGAGACCTGGTGACTGGAGCCACTGCGCTATCTTGCACCAGCTGGAAGTGATGCCCAGTAACCAGGCCTGACCTTGGAGGCTAAGGGCTGAGACTGTGTGCTAAAGGAATACCGCCTCCAAAGACTCACCTAGAAAGCAAAGGGAGCCTAGGACTTGCCAGATGGGATGAGAACTGAGACCCATCTAGGCCAGGATATTTCTCCTGGGCTGTGTCTACATTGGGCCACTTATTCTGGAAAATCAGCCGCTTTTCCGGAATAAGCTGCGAGCTGTCTGCACTGGCCCTTGAATTTCCGGAAAAGCAATGACGCTCTACTGTACAAAATCAGCCGATATTCCGGAAAAACTATTCTGCTCCCGCTCGGGCATAAGTCCTTATTGCGGAACACTGTTCCGGAAAAGGGCCAGTGTAGACAGCCCAGTAGTCTTTTCCGGAAAAAAGCCCCGATTGCGGAAATGACGATTGGGGCTCTTTTCCGGAAAAGCGCGTCTACATTGGCCACGGACGCTTTTCCGGAAAAAGGGTTTTTCCGGAAAAGCAGCCTGCCAATGTAGACGCTCTTTTTCCGGAAATACTTATAACGAAAACTATTCTGTTTTAAGCATTTCCGGAAATTCATGCCAGTGCAGACACAGCCCAGCAGTGGTCAGGGCCAGATGCTTCAGAGAACGATACAAAGAGAAACCCCAGAAGGTAGAAGTGGGCTTAACCCAGGGACAAACAGAACACACTGGGCCACGTTATTCGATAGAAACCAAACTAACCACCTGTCTAGAGCTACCAAAAGGCGGCTGCTTCCCCCTGCTGGCGAGCAGCCCCTAGGACAAGAGCCCTGGAGAGGACCTGTCTGCATGGCCAAGAGGCCAGTAGTGTCTCCTCAGCCTGCTCTGGCCAGGAATATCCCTGTGAAGAGATTTCGGACCCCACATTACTGCCAGCCCTACAGTCTACACTTCGGGGGTGGTGACTGTATTTGGCTTCTTCCCTTAAAAGAGTCTAAAAAGAATTCAGGGGCCTGCATCATTCAAACTCTCAAACAGCTGCAAACTCATGCACCAGCTCAGGGCTCAGGGCTTTAGATTGTAGGTTCACTGGGGCCGGAATGGCAGTATTGTCATCTCCCCTCATGTAGCAGGAGACGTGCAATACTCGGGGTTTCTCTTCTAGCCCGTGATTTGGTCAGAACGCCAACTTCGGTTTGAAAAAACAATTGAGCCTCGTGGCTGTGGAGTAAAGCTGAGCACCCCTGAAAACCAAGGAGAAGAGCCGTCTTTCTGAATTAAAAACCTCACCATTCTTAAGTCAATGTCAGAATTGCTGAGGCCTGAACTCTTGATTTTGGAACGTGGGGGCTGGCCATTTTGGAACCGTATGTGTGCCGTGCCGCACCTCAGCGACATAAACAAACCAGATGTCAAATAACCCTGAGAGCATGAAAAAAATCAGGCAAAATCTCAATTGCTTTGTACCACTGGGTGTGATTCCAGCTCGCTCAGCTTGGAGAGTTTCACATTCTGCCTCTGGGCCTCAGCCCAAAGCTGCCAGGTTTGGGTGGCAAAGCCTGCCGAGGGATTGTTACAGCCACGTACAAACGGCTTTCCTTGCAACTTAGAAAAAACCTATCAAAATCAGACCTGATAAATTCCCATTCCCCTCCCCACACTCATTGGAGCAACACGTTTGTGGGCCACCTGAGGCTGGCGCAGGAGGGTTCCCCAAACACGTGGAGATCTATGAATGAATTTCTGCTCTGGCAGCCCGTCGGCCGGCGAGCGCTGCCCGCTGCGATCTCCCCGCAGCGCAGCGACAGGCCCCAGGGAGCCCGGTGCGAGGGGCTCGCTCTTACCCGTGCCAGGCGCCCTGTCGCGCAGAGGGGCGGGGAGCCGAGGCCCAGGGCACTGAGCGCCTTGCCCACGGCCGCCGTTTGACTCACCTCGGGGCGAGACGAGCGCCCCGGCTGGGGTCGGCCGGCGGAGGGCCAGGCCCTGCGGGTGCCTGGACCCCACGCGCCCAGCCTTGCTCCGGACGGTCCCAGCAGGGGGCCAGAAGATGGCCGCCGGGGAGCGCTACTGGCAGGAAGTGCTTGCTGAGGGAGGCCAGTGCCTGCGGCGGAAATGAACACAGTCCCGCTGGGGCGCGTTTTATGCCGGAGCCCTGTTTGTACCGTGCCTCGCACGAGTCCCCGGGCACTTCCACAGCCCCACGAATCACGCACGGACGTGTGCTCTCTCGCACACGCCTTTCCTTAGCTCCTGCGCCGTCTTGGGCCCAGAATCCTTCTCAGTGCAAACCCCGGGCCAGCCTGGCGCCAGATCATGCGGGCAAGAGAGCGCCGCTTGGCCTGGAGGGTTACCCAGCACCCCGAAGGCAGCGTCTGCCCCAGCATACCCGTCCGGGCCACACACAGCAAGGGGTACCAGTTCCTCCCGCTCGCCCCTCGTCCCCACGGGGAGCCCCCTTGCCGTTCACACCCGTCGTACTCTGGCCCGTCACTCTCCGACCAGTGTTCCCGCCTGCTCTCGGCTGGCCAGCAATGGACCTGGGCCCAGACACATGCCCTCCTGGTGCTGAGGGGGGCAGAGGGCCAGAGGCATCTCTCACACCGGTTCTTTTAATGAGTAGGTTTCAGGGGGTCTGCCAAATAAATCTGGCTTCAGCCCTGGGTGGTGGGGCTCAGGGAGGGAGTGCCACCTCCACCCCCTTGCTCACCTTTGTGAGCCCCCCAGCTTGTAGGGCAGGCTCAGCAGTAAGTTTTGCACTGAGGAAGTAAAACAAAATCAGTATTGTGTTTTTCATGTTGTGCCGGTGTTCCCCTTTTCTTTTGAACATTCTAGGGGCGGGTGGAACTGTTCACAGAATCTGGCTTTTCCTCTATGGGCTGTGCAGAAAAGCCGTTTTTATAGCACAACAGCTGGGGTGGCATCAGACTGGGTGATCTACTGGTCCCCTCTGGCCTTAAACTCTATAGTAGCATGAAACTCGGATCCTTTCTGTTCTCCTAGGACCAAGGAGACAGCACGTGGGCCCCTCTTTGCCCTGCCTCGGAGGGGCTGTTCTTGCTGCAGCTGGGAGCCATTCGCTTGGTGTTAAGTTCCTTCCCCAGCTCGGCCTGGGCACAGGACGGGGAACCGATTCTTATCCCCTCTCTTTCATTCTTGTTCAGAATCGAAAGTTGGCCTTTGTCTTTGGCGCGCTTCCAGCCAGAGTCTCCTGCTAGCACCTGGGGAGAAGAAAAGAGACGCCCTGTAAGAAGCATAATATGCAGTAGTAAAAGTGGCCTGGCTTCTTATCAAGGGTAGACTTGTGCTGCCCTCTGGCGTTGGCATCTCCCATTTGGGCATTGAAACGCCACCAGGTTTTCATGGGCTCAGTGCTTGGCTCTTCTGAAAAATCTGACCCCAGTGAGGGCTCCTGACTGCTAGAAAATCTGGTCATAAGAATCCTGGTCTAACACCTCCTCCCCTCCCTTGAATGTCAAAGGGAAACTGGGCATAACCGAGTCACACTCAGGCAGAGCGGGTAAACGATGCAAGCAAATCAACCTGCTAGCTGTTCATCCTGACTTTATGCTCACTTAGTCCTGGGGTAATTGCCTGCACATGATGCAGGGCAATGGCAAATCAGACCCATTCCCTTCTCAAATTGCTGCACAACTAATAACATTTTGCCAATCTAGAGCACTTTCTGAGGTCCTCGGAGCACTTTGGAGAGTACTGAAGGAACCCTCTGCTCTTCTGAGGGCACAGGTCTGCGTCATGAGCCCCACTTTACACATGGGGAAACTGAGGCACGAAGCAGGGTGGTGATTTGTTGACAGTCAGAAGGGCAGGTTGACAGTTGAGTTGTTCACCTTGAATAAATGAATTGCTAATTAACTCAAGGCAGTTACTGTGTGTCTGCACAGACTTGCTGGGATGCTCCCCAAATGCCTGTTCCAGAATTGCTAACGTTTCTTTACCTCAGAGTTTGTCTGTAGCCCGTAACAATAGTTTAGGACAGTGCTACACAGACCTTGATGACCTAAGAGCCAAATTAGCAATCAACAGTACCCAAAAGAGCCACAGGAATATGAATGACAGGGAAATATTTAGCTTATAAAACTTTTTAATTAATTTGCTGTTAGACTATATAATTTATAATTATACTTAGTAATTTAGTGCAATCTGATAACAATTCATTAATAACACAGTAAAACACAGCACCGTGATTGGTTAATCATTAAATCACGTAGTCTTTTAACATCCTGTGCTGCACAGAGCCCCAGGAGATGCACTGAAGAGCCAGTCTCAGGCCTGGTCCACCCTGGGAGTGTTCAGACTGGCTCTCTGCAAAAGCCCTAGCTACCTCAACTGAGTCCAAAGAGCAAACTTGGGGGCAGGCCAGTGCACAGAGAAGCCAGGAGTCCCCGCATCCAGCTCTTTGTGTTAGTGGCCAAACCACCCCCTTTCATTTATTTACAAAACAAGGTAGGAGAAATAAACCTGGTCCAGATTTTCAAAAGTGGCCACCGTGGGAGACTTTCTGAGGATCTGAGCTCCCGTGAGGGGACTGAGTCATTAAACCTCGTTTGACAGGGTCTGTCTCCAAAGGAGCTCAGCTTCCATTTAGACACCCAAAGGCAGTGGCCATGGTTCTGAAAGGGAGCAGTGAATTGCTGAGCACATCTGTAGCTTTGTCCATCTCCTTAGAATTTTGGCACCAGTTTGGGTGCTGAGATCTTGAAATGTTGATGAATAATACAGCTAGGCCAGGGGCAGAGTTAAGGGTACCTGTGAAACATTCACTTTGGCATGCCCTGACATTGGGTGCCTTGCCTTGCAATGTTTATCTGACACAGAAATTGTCATGCAATATTTAAGGCGTGTGGGGGTGTGCGTGCGTGCATGTGTATGTTCCAAAGGCCTTAGAAAAGAAAGATGGTCTGGTGGCCAGGGCACTAGTCTAGAAATTGGCCTCTTATGAGGTTCCAGTTAGCAGGCCTGGCTGGCAATTGCTGTATCCCTGCTGGAGGCAGCCAGAGCCATGTAAGAACTGCCAGGGTAAAGTCAGCAGCCCAGCAAGCTGATTAGTATAAGCACCAGAGTTATTGACTTGAGTCCCACGACTTGAACTCGAGTCCGACTTAAGTCGCCGAGGTGACTCGACTTGAGACTTGACTCAGGTTCATTGTTTGTGACTTGAGACTTGCTAATTTTGTTAACTCGACTTGGTGAAAAAATTGTCCGAAAATGCCGACATCGACGGCTTGTACAAAAGTGACTTGACATTTTTTAAATTAAGACTTGAGACTCGACTTGGGACTTGACTCAAAAGTGACTTTAGGGACACGAGACTCGACTAGAGACTTGAACTGTAGTGACGTGAGACTCGATTTGGACTTGGCAATGACGCCTTGAAGACAACACTGATAAGCGCTGTATGTCTGTACCTACTGACAGGTTTTATGCTGCTGCTCTTTGCTGTGATGTCTGAGAACCTTCTACCTAAAAATGATAGGGTGACCCTATCATCCCTAGTAATCATCCCAGATGAACTATCTGGCACTTTGTCCTTTTCGGAGTTAAAATCTCTGCTTGGCAGAGCGGGCCAGGTTCGGGGGGCAGTGGTTAGATTGTGTTTGTTGATTTGGTTTGATAGTTACTGATCTGGGACATCTGCAATGGGAAGAAAGTCTGTATATTCTGGACCTTGTTGTTATAAACTTGAAAATTAGGTTTTATTTGGTACTGGGTCTGCATGCCACAATTGCAGCTTGCTTAGTTTCCTGTTTGTGCTGTCTTGGTCATTTGGTTGCCAAGACAAAATTGTTATTAAACATGAATTGTTTTTAAACATATAAGAAATAATTACAACAAATGCTCCTGAAATAGACTGATTTTTACATTAGTTGTTTTTTAATTTTTTTCAGTTACAGACTAACAAGGCAACCTCTCTGTGATTTTTATATTTTTATTCTTCAAATAATCCAAGAGCTTCTAGGGAGCTAAGCAACCCCCACTGAAAGTTGCCCCTTCACCACTGAAATCTGAAATGGCATTACTACTTTCTGTGAGTTCCTTGTTAATAAGGATTATAATTACTTATTGTTTGTATCCAGTAGCATGGTTCAATAAGACAATGGAAAAGTTACCAATTTCTCTAAATTGTATAACATTTCAGTAAGGAGAGAGAAATATCTGTAGATCTAATTGTCATGCATACCCATCTCTCTTACCTATGTTTCAATTTGCCCATGGGTGGTATGTACTGTGTTCATCACCAGGCTAACTAAGTGCCTTATAAGTGTTATAATTTTCCTTGTGTGATTCCATCCCACTTGCGTGAGCAAAATAAGATTGTTTTAAAAGTGTGAGCAAATCAAGATGGATTTCCACCCTAATTCCAAGAGGCACAGGTTCAGACTGGGACTGGGAGCTCTGTTTTGATGCAGTCCAGGATTAGACCCTAAACTACTCAGGTAGAAGTCTTTGAAACATCTAAAATAGAATGAAGTTGCAGGACTTTGTGATGTGAATAGAAAAAGTGGTTTTTTCACTCTCAGCCTGAAGTACCAGAAATGTAACTTACAGCCAAACAAGCTGTCACTGGAGGGAGCAGGGAGGTTTGAGGACTCCCAATGGAAAGTTTGGGGAAATGACATTTAACTGAAAAGGGAGATGAGATGGAAGCTCCAACTCTAGGGGAGCCCAGCCACTGCACAACCCCTCTCCCTCTTTCAGTGCAAAGTGTTTAACCCCACACGACCCCTCCTCCCCAGTGCAGCTGGTTTAACCCTCTCCACCTGTCCTTCCACAGTGAAGTGGTTTAACCCATTCCCAAGCAATGCAGACCCCCTCCACCCCGCCTCCCTGGGGCACATGGTTTAACCCTCTCCTCCCCAATGCAGACGGTGTAACTCCCTCCAAGCGCAAATGGCTTAATCCCCTCTGTCCCTCCTCCCCAGGGCAGAGGAATTGTCCAGTTCCCCCCTCCTCTCCCAAGGGGGGTGATTCGTCCCCTTCCAAGCACTGGAGATGGTTTAACCTAGCCACCTCTTCTCAGAGGAGATGGTTCGCTCCACTCCACCCCTGGACATGGTTTATTCCTTGAGTGCACAGATGGTCTCTCCCGCCTCTCGAGGCCCTGCCCCTCTGCCCGGTCCTGGCCTCCCTCGCTTCCCGACCCTGCAGGATCCCGGCTCTGGATTGGCTGAGCTGGAGGCCGCGGAGCAAGGCAGCCAATGGCCGGGCTTCGCCCTCCCCGATCCAAGATGG